GCCTGCCTGCACTGGCCTGTCCATGGTCCTGATGCTTTTCCAGCCAGCCAGACACCCATTTCTCTCGCTTCAAGCTCCAGGCAGAAACTGACTGCTCTGCCACTGCTGCTTCCTTTTATGGGGCCCTTCTGGCCCCAGTTGGTCACTCCAGCAGCCCCTCTGATTGGCTGCTCCCCTGCAGCCATTCTATGCTGCCTAGGGGTGTTCACCAATCAAGACTGTGTTGATGACACAGCCTTGCTTGTAGAGAATCCAGAGAATTTCAGCTCCGCCCTTCAAGTTTTCCAAGACATCATCCCATCTACACTATGAGGTTGAACATCTCCTGGCAGAAGACCAAGGTCAAGAACCTCAGAGCTGGGCCACCAGAACTTCCAGTACTGGTGGGATTGAGCACCATGCAGAGCTTTGACAATTTGCATCTACATAGGTGCAAGCAGAGTTCAAACAGTCACAGTAAACCAGATGCCCTCTGATGAATATGTCTTACCACTGCCTGATGAAGTCAATGTCTTGTCCGCAACTAAAAAAATGTTTCTGCATTGAGACAAAGTTTAGGTTCTGTCAAACTTTTGTATTGCATGCACGGCTATAAGGGTCAGAAGCCTGGTCCCACTTCCAGGCAGATTTGGAACAGCTAGAGGCATTCCATATGCTCAATAAGTGCCAAATTCTGAACATAAAGTTTTTCAGTTTTGTGCAAAATGACACAACATCACAGAGATCTGACCTTCATCCAATCACTCACTACATTCAAAAGCAGCTTTGCATTTGCTTTAGCCATGTTGCCAGGATGGACAAAAACATCCCAGGATGCCATGCCTCAAACTCTCCATCAACACACGAAGTGGTGCATGCTTGGACCATACCTGGAGTCATCGGTGGGACCACCCCAGAGATACATGGATTCTCAGGATTGAGCCAGAACTGGGAACTTCACTCTCTGATCCCTAGTACAATGCTGGTACAATGGTCCTCAGTAGACTATGTGCGTTTGATGATGATGAATGGGCACATCTGGTTATAGTGAACGTCCTCCTGTAATGAGTCTTCTGTATGGGGAAAATGACTTTACATTGAGAGGGATATTTTATTATTACTATTTACTGATTTTATTCTACATACCAGCCATTGTGCTAGGAACTGTGCGGGCATAGTATACAACACTGTCCATTTATTTTTAACTGTATCTTCAGGCCTAATCCTTTGGTTTTCTTTTAAGTTTTATTTTTACAACTCTTCTACGTGGTTAGAATGGCAATTTTCCTCCTCATATCGGTCACATAAACAGCAGATCGCTGCTAGGACATCTTGACACATAAGAAAAAAAAAGAAACAGATTGTTTGGTCGAGAAGTTTTTATTCAGGCAAAAACACATAGTCAAGGACAAATGTAGATAACAGAATCTAGAATAACAGAACAGGTTTTCAGACATTCTCCTCACAGGAGAAAGTTTTCTTTTTGGAGAATTAATTTTTGATTTTTTTCTAATATATACAAGTGTATGTTATTAAAGAAAAAGACCAAACTCAAAACTACATATTTAAAATTCTGTTCTGATGCTGTAAGGATCATCAGATCTTGAACCTAGGTTTGCATGGCTACCAGGCAGTTAACAGCCCCACACTGCCATAACCTGGCTGCTCTATGCAACCCACGATCCACAGTAGGTGCACGCCACAGGACATTCCTCCTTGAGTAATCTGATTGGCAGTTGTCTTAGCAATCGCTGATTGGCTTCTTGATCATATAGAAGCTCATGGGGCATAGTACAAAGTACCCAGGCAACAATGTGGATCCTTAGCTAGCTGGAATGACTGCCCTGCTTCTCCGTTTCTGAACCCCCAATAATGACTTTGGCTCTGACTTGGATTCTGACTCCCGATCAACACCTGGAAGCCCAATACAGAAACTGATACCTGATATTGACCCTCACCCTGATTCCTGACTCTGTCTCCAGCTCTAACACTCAGCTTGATACCAGTTTCTGATTCCGGCTTGATCCTCAGCATGGCTCTGACCCTGATACTGGCTCTGACCCCAGGCTTCAGTTCCTGGGTCCCAAAATCCTGCCACTAGTCCTGTCTTCCTTTACCCAGGATCCTGACAGATGTGAGAAGATTGAGGCTTCTTTTATAGACACATCCCTCAAATACCTATTATCAAGGTTTTAGGGAAATATCCCAATGTACTGAATTAAACAGATTCCTATAGAACCTTTTTTAGAATTTGTATGAATCAGATTCAAGGAGACTACTCATAATAGCAAGCTCTATCTTCAGTCGTTGCATACAAGATAAGGATAATAGCTAGTCTGAGGTCTATGGAATATGTGTTGTTGCGTGGACTGTGATCTGTTGCACTTCTCTGTCATGTAATAAATAAATAATTTTACATACTGCTTTGCCAACAAACTGGTGTCACTAATTTATTCGCTCAGGTCTTTGGGAAAGCTGTAAGACTGGATGCAGTTACAAATCTGTCTTAACTATAAATGTGTGTTTTCAAAAAAACTAGAACAAGATTTCTGAAGTATTTCATCCTTAACATATGTTGGTCAGGTTGCTTACTACACCAGAACCTGAATAGAATAGAGTGTCTGTTATTTACATGATCTAAGATTTTTCTTTTTCACACTTGTTTTGTTACCTTGGAAGTAACAGGAATGTCACAGCTGGTCTTGTCTTCCCTACCTTTGCTGGGCAACCTGTTGGCAGTTTCAGAACATGTTCATTTTGAGCTTTAATCCTTTAGCTGAAGGGGTGGAGGTACTGAATCTTTAACTAAGACATACAAAATGTTAATTAATTATTGAAGTCAAATATCTGTTGTTCCAATGGATGGAATCACAGTCCCTCTTAAACAGGAGGCATTTATTTAAGAAAACTAAACAACTAGTGACAAGATCAAAAAATACTATTGCTGTATCTCCTCTTGTGCAGCAGGTACCGCATCTGATCTGGATCTCTTTACAGTAAACAAAGATATCTAACAGGTGAATAGCATACTCAAGATGAGCATCTCATTATAAGTATTAACAACAACAAAAAACCCACACAAATAAAAAATTTAAACTGTGATTAAAAATCCATTAACCTTTTTACTTCCTAAATTTCACTCTCCTAGTTCTTGGGAATATCCTACTTCCACTAGTTCTCCAGTCATTATAGGCTATATCCATACTAGGAAATGTTATGAAAAAATTCCCACTGGAATGGTGGGAGCCCAAGGGTAGACAAGTTTTCCATGACTGGACTTATTTTTACCATGATATTGGCTGAAACCAGGCTTAATTAACATGGTGATAAAAATGAGACTGGTTCAGGGATCCTCATCTGCATTAGGGCTCCTCCTAGCACTATCAACGATTCAGCTGAACTGGTGGTAGCACTGGGGAGGGGAGGAGGTTTGTGATGTTCATCATCTGACTAGAAAGGCAGGAGGAGACTCTAGGGGGAAAAGAGGATGGTTTGGGCAATAGTAGCTCATGCTATGTTCACTGACCATCTGCCATCACCCCATGATCCTCCAAGGGTCTAGAGGTCTTATTTCTCTGCAAGAAAAGATGTTGGAATCTCCACTGCTGATCTCTTATGTTGGCATCCTCCAATGACCCCAGCTGCCTTGGTGCTCGGACTGCCATGTGTGCTGATTTCTTGTTATTTGTTGCTTCTCCTCATTGAATTTAGCACACTGGTTTGCTGTGTGTTATGTGTGGTCTTAGGGCTTGTCTACAATGCCCTGCACTTTGGACTAGGGGAATGCAAATAGCAGTGCACACCAAGGTGCTGTGCAATAACACCCCTGTGTGGATACTGTGGGCATGAACTCAAAGTTTCTTAGTTTGCGTTGTTACTCCTCTTCAAACAGATGCTGCAGTGAATGTTTTTTGTTTGTTTGTTTGGACTCTAGGTCCACTTATCAGCAAAGACACAATTCAGTTTGACCTGTGCTTAGCTTGCCATTGTTTTGGAGCCTTTTGGTGATGGAGCTGTGGCTTCAAGTTCTGGGGCTTCCCCAGAAAGTTTCCTATAGTGCTGTATGCAGTACAAATCTGAAGATGCTGAGAAATAAGTAGACAGCAATGTAGGATCGTTCTTCCACTGTTGCATCATCCTACTCCCCTGATCCTCCTGCAATACCACAGAGTATTCTTTCTTTCCACTAGCACTGGATAGAAATCCACAGTTAATGTTGACAGTTAAAACACCGTTAAATTAGATTCTGCAACTGAACATCCCTCAGAAAGAGAAGATCTTGCAATGGCATGGGTTGGAGGGCCAATAGCAGCATGGCTCCTGTGAGAAGGATCACAGGAGCAGCAGAGTTACCATGATACCAATTGTCATGAGCAATTGTCATCCTGTCATGGGTATTTCTTTTGGAAAAGTACAGTTTGGTCCCAGGTACTTATTAGTGTTCACTATATACAGAGAACAATAGTTAAGAAATTGGGCCAAATTAACTGCTGTTATAAATTCTATTCAATGCAGCTGAATTCAAAGCAGCAGTGCATCTGGCCCCCTAATTCCCATCTGAAGCTGGAGTCTCCTTGCACAGTGTAAAGAACCGATGGTGCATTACTGTAGCTTGCTTGGTCATGCTGTAGCCTGCACAGTGAAAACTCCCTGAATCTGTATCCCTCACCTTCAGCTAAAGCGAAGCCCAGCAATATGCTAGTTTGTTTCCATGTGACGTTTCTGTGAGGTTGTCCTGCTTTTCAGCAGTTATGCATTTCCTTGGAAGGTGCATTAGCCACCTTCTTTTTAGGACAATTCTCTTCAAAATAAAGATCACCCTACTGAAATGTGGCTGATCTGAGACACTGCTTATTCCTTTATAGAGAAAGGACTAGAGAGGATATAAATGAATAATACAATACAAAAATCACTTGGAATGAATACCAGTAAATCATGCCTCATGATGACAGATATAGACCTTAGAATAGTGTCTCAATTATTTATTTTTCCTTTTTTTATTATTCTCATTTCACTACTAGCTGCATTCAGACCAGGACAGAGGAGATGGCTCACTTAAGTACATCCTTTCTGGAGATGGAGCAGGAGATCTCTTCATTATCAATGAAAACACTGGAGACATACAGGCCACAAAGAGACTAGACAGGGAAGAGAAGCCTGTTTATATACTTCGTGCCCAGGCTATAAACAGGAGGACTGGACGACCAGTGGAACCAGAGTCTGAGTTCATCATTAAGATCCATGACATCAATGACAATGAGCCAATGTTTACAAAGGATGTTTACAACGCCAGTGTTCCAGAAATGTCGGATGTCGGTAGGTGGCAGCTCAGTAATTCACTGTCTGATCTGGGTTCTTTTTGGGGATTTGCATCAGTGTCCATTATTCAGAGGTGCAGGGCAGATACCTGCTATTTAGTTCATTTGGAGTTGTGGAGCATTCAGCATCTCTGAAAATCAGATCCTTAGTATTTGGGCTGGACCTGGAACAGAAGTCCTAATGCTGGTCAGCTCTGCTTGTTTATGGTTTAGGACAGAAACAAACTGGAAAAAGGTGGGGGAGTGAGCATGCACCTCCCACAAGAGAAAGTCAGTGTACCTCTCAGCTCTTCCCTAATTTTGGGATACATTGCTCAATTCCCTTTGTCCCTCCATAATCTTTTGTTTCTCCTTGAACACAAAGGGTGTTCTCCATTGCCCATAGAAGTGAATCCATATCTTTCCACTGACTTCACTGGGCTTTTGATAAGGCCCTCAGAATCAATAAAAGAACATAAAAATCAGATTTAAAATGAATGGATTAAAAATTCACCTTTGGAGATTCAGGGGGCCCCTATTTAGAGGATTTCACAGGTTCACATTTCTTTGTCCCTTGTTTCTTTTTAGAGAGAGCTGGGAGATTGAATAGCAACACAGCACATTTGTAATCTGAAACAATGTCCAGTGAGAGAAGCATTAAACAAACAGCATCAAGTAAAGGATTCAAATAAACCACAAGCAATATGCAAAAAAGGACTAATGGGCATCTTCTCTCAGCTCATTCATGGGGTTTGTCATGTGAATGAAACCTTAGCCCCATCAAAGTCAGAGCATCCCCTTAACATTTTACATTAGGACATGGCATTATTTAATCTGTGGAGTGGATACTTTGTTCAAAAATCTCTCCTCAGTCCCAAAACCAGCACTGTTTTTGGTACAATAAACACTTCATCTAGAACTGAACAGTGGTTATTTTTCTGAGAGCGGGATTCAAGATTCCGAATTCCGATACAGCCCTCAAATACCAGATCCGAGGTTTTGGTTTGACCGATTACAAAGATGAGGCACTTTGCAAAATTCAGTTCTTGACTTGGGTTCAGATTTTAAATACCGACCAGAATGGGGGTGTTCAGATCTTTGGGTTTTGGTACAACTGTACATTTTATAGAAAATATGAAACAGAATTTAACTTCCCTGTAGAGTCTAAACAATTGACTTTTTTTGGCTCCAACAGCAGCTGGAGTTTGTCTTTCCCTACAGTATTAGAACTGCCAAAGTGTCACAAATAGAGGCTGGTTTTGAGTTCCCAGAGCAGTTTTCCGAACCTAAGATACCCAGCTAGTTATAATAAACACCCAAACTCTGGTCTTGATGAGATTCCTCCAGGACTAAATTAAACAGTATATTCTGGATCGCAGATGTGTTGTCAGTAGAGAAGGAGCTGTTCAGTGCTTCGTGATTAATAGATTAAATGCAGTGCGGCTTGATCTTTTGACTCCCAATTAAAATACCCACAAACGAGTATTTGAAAGGCCTTATTAAGTTTCCCCAAATTCTTTCATTGAGGACATAGCATCCAGTCCCTAAGCTTTGTAGATCTCACAGGTTTCCCCTGAGGTACAGGGCCATTTGCACAAACCCGTCCACATCAGGGTCTTCCATGGCTCCCTGGCACTATAGCACTAGGGATTCGTCAGCTTCATGCTGCTCCTGGGATCCCCATGAAGGGAATTTCCCTTGGACAGAAAAATAATAATAATACAGAATAAGGCTGAATTATAGTTTTAGAAGATTAACCACAAAGGTCTTCCCACTCCCAAGTCCTTTTCACACAAGGGGGAGCTACTGATTATTCCAGTCCAACTTGGAAAGACAAGATTTATATGCACAGTACCCCATCTCCAAATCATCTCCTTAATGCAAGAGACAAATTAATGAAACTGTCTGTTAGCGCTCGCGTGGGCAGGGAGACGGATTTCTCAAAGAACAATATCACAGTACTGTTCTTGTTTGTGAATTTACATTGCAGTAACTGTACTATATTCAAACTAAATGTTTTCTATAAATAAGTAAGCAAACATCAGGTACAGGGAAAGAATATTTTTCACCCACACAAATTGCTGTTTGTTGAAATAGATTAAAAGCATTTTCGGCCCCTGTCAGAGTAGCAATATAACGATGAAAAGAGCAGGAACATTAAAGCATGTCCAGATGGATAAATGTACAGGCAAAACATCTGATGAAGTGAGCTGTAGCTCACGAAAGCTCATGCTCAAATAAATTGGTTAGTCTCTAAGGTGCCACAAGTACTCCTTTTCTTTATGCTATAAATTACTCTGTCCACCAACAAGAGAGTACATGTTTTTATTTATCATTGCAGGTACATTTGTTGTGCAAGTCACTGCGACGGATGCCGATGATCCTACCTATGGAAACAGTGCTAAAGTTGTGTACAGCATTCTCCAGGGACAACCGTATTTCTCAGTGGAGTCTGAGTCAGGTCAGGAGACCTTATATCTGTCATTCTCTGACAGTGTCTGTAATTTAAAATGACATGTTAAGCCAAGCTAGGACATATTAAACAAAAACTTCAAAGAGATTACATTTTACTCAGTGCAGAATCTGACAAACCCAGTAGAGCGATACATCTGTAAACATGACACCTACATTATTTTAATCTTAACATCAAAGTCTAATAAATATAATTAGACCTGGATGTGAACTAGTTTTCAGTCATTTTCAACAAGCAATGGGCACGGACACTTTGCAGAGCCTGAAATTAAACCAAGTGTTGCTCAGTTCAATAGTTTGGCTCCAATGAGGAAAGAAGAAGGGAAGGCGGGTGGAAAGATTATTCATGGATCATCATAACAGCTGAATTAAGCTGAGTTTTCTTTTCTTCTTCTTGGTGTTCATTTAAAACTTGTGCCAATAAAATGATTAGTTATTTTTCTGTACATCTGTAATGTAGAGAGATATTTTTATGTTAATCTTCTGGGGGGAAATCTTCATTTAGAATCATGATAGAAGAGGTGCATTTGGCTTTGCCCCACTCAATATAACATCTCTCAGGATCCAGCCTTTTTGAGTTCTGTCTAGGGCTTTTTGGGAGATTTTCATCAGAAAATATTGGTTTGTCAAAACTGAAACTTTTTGTGGCAACATATCTGTATCAAAGAAACTTTTGTTAGGAAGGTTTCTCAGGTCCAAGGTGGAATTTCTGGAGAGAGCGAGAGACACACCCATAGATCCAGAATAGCCCAGGGGTTAGTGGGAGACCCAAGTGAGTGCTGTAACCACTGGGCTATTGGATATTTTAGCAAAGGTCTTTCTCATTTTCTGAAAGGTTTTGGTATCATTCCGATGTGTAACACAAACAGATTTTGAAACCTCAGAATTGTTCATAAAATGGAATTCTTGTTTTTTGGCTAGCCCTAATTCTGTCCTCAGGAGGGCATCAAGTCAGATAGTGCATGGGGATAAATAACATAGGACTAGGGGGGAAAGGGGGAGGATTTACCACTACCACCACCCCCACCCCCCATTTAGGGATCGCATTAATAAATAAAGGAAACACCAAGTTTGGAACAAAAACTCGTTTATCTCACTTTATGAAAAGTTGATGAGTTTACTCATGGTACAAAATTACTCATTAAAGTGATATTCAACAGCTTGTTTATTATTTTTAACTGTAGACACACACACTCAAAATTTTAAAAAGTTGTCTATACCCCTGTAACATGGCTGATTTTGTTGTTGTTGGGGGTTGAATAATCATATGTCCAATAGCTTCTGTGGTTATAAGAGGCTGTGGGTTCACCTTTCTCTGAAGCATAAGATACTGGCTACTGAAGGAGGTAGGATTCTTCTCTTGATGGACCAATGGTTCTAGTTTGGCAGAGTATATCTTACATTCTTCTATCCAAATGGATAATAAAAGTGAGGGATCATATGCTTTAGCTGGTAGTGCAATGGTTTCTTAGCAGAGAGTGTATGGGGAAAAATAGATACAGCAAAGGTTTGATCCTTCTCCCACTGAACTCAACTGCAAAACTAGGGATTTCAGTGGGACCAGAATTTCATTCCTACTGACTACGAAGAGCAAATGATCTGGTCTTAAGAGACCAGATAAATATAGAGACACAAGATGGGTGAGGTAATATCTTTTATTGGACCAACTTCTGTTGATGAGAGACACAAACTTTCAAGCCACACAGAGCTCCCCTTCAGGTCTGGGAAAGGAACTCCCAGTGTCCCAGCCAGGGGCTGGTACCACCATGTTGCGCGAAGGACACTTGACAAAATTACTGTACTTAGTGACAGACATGGGGGTTTATGTCATTCAATTTTTTGAAAAATTACCACAGACCTCAACATTTTTACCATGGACACATTGCTGACCTCTAGTCCTAGCTAAATGCAAGGTGGAACAGATTGTTTAGCATAAGTAGTTAGTACATATTATAGGGGCCAGTCAAGGTAGAGTGGCCCATTAACACCTCTGCTGTCATAGGACAAAAAGAGGGAGTTAGTGGGTTACAGATTCTTGTAATAACTCATAAATCCAGTGAGTCTGCTCAGTCCATGATTTTCAGTGTCTAGCAGAGTTATGAATTTGAGCTCCCAGCTTCGTCTTTTGAAAATCATTGTGCAAGTTTCCTTTGAGGATGAGCACTGATAGGTCAGATATAGAGTGATCATTTTGTGAAAAGTGTTCACCCACAGGTGGTAGGATGTTTTTGTCTTTCATCGTTATCCTATGTGAGTTGATTCAAGAGCATAGTGATTATCTGGTCTCACCTACATAGTCGTTATTGGGGCATTTAGTGCATTGGAGGAGGTACACCACATGTTGTGATAGGCATGTGTAGGATCCATAGATCTTGAAAGGTGTGTTGTGTGGGGCATTGATCATTGTAGCAGTGGAGATCTGCCTGCAGGTTTTGCATCTGTTGTTCTGTCAGGATCTGGTGCTGCTTTGAGTTGGTGTGTCCGCATACAGATAAATATAAACATTTTGTTTTATTATAAATATAAAGTATTGAATTTCAGTGGGAGTTAGGTGCCTAACTGACATTTATGCCTTTGAATAAGAAAGTATTTAGGAGAAGAATTTCAATCACTGTATAAATAGAATTAGATATTGTATGCTTGGGTGCTTGCTGCTTTCTTAATTAATTTCCCTGCCATTTAATGTTTCTGTACTGCCTCTTAATGATGCCTTGCTGAAGTTTGCTTGTTTTTGCCATGTCTGTCAAAATAAAAGTTGATGGGATGGGGAAAATAACTGAAGTACCTTATAATGAGAGACAACCCTTCTTCCAGTTTAACAAGAGACTTTCATGCGGGTTAAAGGGGGATAAATAGTCATATAAAACAACAATGCATGCAAATTGCTTTAACATTTTTCTGGGGATGTCGTTAATATTGTGTCTGTCACGCAGGCAGCAACCTGACATACAATGTGACAAGTCTGTAATTTAATATGCCATCTCATAACAGTAAATATTTATACTGGGCAAAGTTTACTGATTACACAGAGACTGTCATCTATTTTTTTTTTAAATAAGCATTTCTGTCAAAGTCAGTACACTACCAACTATGTTCCCCTCCTTAATTCCCACCTTCCCAGGTATTATCAAAACCGCTTTGCTCAACATGGACCGAGAAAACAGGGAGCAGTACCAGGTGGTCATCCAGGCCAAGGACATGGGTGGACAGATGGGTGGACTCTCAGGAACCACCACGGTGAACATCACACTGACTGACGTCAATGACAATCCACCACGATTCCCACAGAGTGCGGACCATTTTTGTTTCTTTGAAAGTCTTTAAGGAAGTCTAGACAGAAATTAATATTTTTTCTCCCCAGTTATTTCTTCTGTCATAAACTGTGAGCCTATTGCATATCGGGCTTCCACACAGCGAGTGAGCAGTGGCTTGATACTAGTGCTTAACTCCAGTGGATGGAAAATGTTTCTTGTGATGTTTTCACTGCTTTGCTAGAGCTAGTCTGAGATGAACATTACTAAACAGAAAACATCCTTATTTTTTCTTCTAATTAAACGGTACTGCTGGGGACCTCCTATCACATTCTTTGTATTAGCATGTGTCTGCAATTATTTTTAGAGCGATTTCTGCTTTATTCTAATGTCTGTGTTTTGAAATATACTAATTTAAATGACTCAAATCTGTCCCTGGAGTAATTTCATTGAAATCATTGGAATTTCCCTGCTGGTGTGCTTCAACATAGTGCTGTTTCAAATAGTACTATGTGAAAATGCACTAGGAAACCTTTAGCATGCACCAGCAGGGTCTACACGACCAATTAATGTGCAACATGATAGTGCACTTTAGAAATTACACCACCATAAAGCGCATTACTCATCTGTGTAGACAAGCCCTTAGAATCAACAGTCCTTTGTATTATTGAAGGATTCTGGGCGTAAACTGATTAAAAATCTCCCACACAATTTTTTTGCTTTATCTAACCTTTGCCATTTGAGCCAAGAGCAGTAGCAGCTGTCTGAGATTCTAGATACTATCAGACAAATAGGAAAGCTTTGACTGTTAAGTCACCAAAAATGTTATTGAAAGCAACTTGTCATTTAGGTCCAAAGTCTGCCCTTGGCTGTGGGCCAACAGCTCCCATTTAAATTGGTGGACTTAAATTGAAATGTAAGTCTCTGCCCCATAAAGTATATTATACACCTTTGCGCATGAGCATCTCTTATTGCCTGAATCATTGATGCATCAACACAATGCCAACATTCCCCAGTAACTTTTCTTAGGGATGTTGGGAGCAGTTTGCAGTGCAGCACATTTGCGGTAAAGACTGGCCTGGATTTGGTTTTAATGTCACTATATCACACAGGCTACTGGCAGTTCTCTATATTTTGTGCATCTTTTAACATCTAGAGGTTGTTTTTTCTTTTCCTATTCCATCTTCAACTGGCCAAAAGGGACCCAAGATATTGTCTGACATCACTTGCAGGTAGAAAGGGAAAAAAAATTCATTGTCATACTAGGGTCTTGTCAGGGAATCACTTACTTCTATTGTTATGAAACTAAGGCATGGGGTGAGTTTTACTTCTTGCTAAAGACCTGGAGATCAGCAACTTCTTAAATCTGCTGATCAGAATATTGGTGCATCTGTGTCTGGCAAGCAAATACAGCTTTTATATCCAGACTCCAAAATACCATGGTTCTGGCTAACCAAAACTGCTTTCTCATTTATTGTAGGCACATACCAGTTCAAAACACCTGAATCTGCTCCACCTGAATCACCAATTGGCAGGATAAAAGCGAATGATGCCGATATGGGTGAAAACGCCGAGATCGAATACAGCATCACTGAAGGAGATGGATCAGACATGTTTGGGGTTATCACTGACAAGGACACACAGGAAGGAATTATAACAGTCAAAAAGGTACACATTTTAATAAACTTAATTCCAACTTTTAGAGTCCCTTTAAGAGCCTTACATGATGTACGTTTAATTTGTCATGCAGTTGACATTGTTCAGTGATTTACACATTATTTATTAAGAGTCTCCTCCAAATCCTCTGTACAAAGTATCTTTTACCAAATCAGTTAGGATTCCTTCCCCTTCCCACCCTCCCCAATCCTGTTTCCTCTTAGAACCACTTCACAAAACCTGCTTGCACAGCCTTTGAATGGGGAGGAGCAGCATTTAATCTATAAAGAGGGACAGGTCTGAGAGAAAGTTCTGCTGCGTCAGAAAGTTCATCTCCAAGGCTGGAGAAGTGCCCTTCAGCTGTGCTTTTTGTCCCTAATGTGAGTAAAAAAATTAAAAAAAAGATTTGTTCTACTTATTAGGAAAGTGCTAGGTTAGTCAACAGAAATAATCAGTGTCCCTGTACTCTTTTGCCTATTTAAATTACCGTTGACCTCTCAGAAGGTATTGAATTATAGATGCTCTAGTAAATCAAAGCACACGATTTATTGATGTACATTTTGCATATAATGTAATTAATAAACCATTTAGTGTACATTCACTTTTAAAAAAAAACACAGTGCCTTATTAGATCACAATGTGCATCATCTAATAGATTGCACTTTGGCGGTCGGAAAGGATTTGGATAATCTTGTTAATAGTGAGTTATCAGGCAAGTGTGATAAGGTTACAGATATCAACTTCCATCAGTTCAAGTTTAGTCAACATGAAACAGACATTGTGTGGATTTTCAAAATATGCACTTTGCTTGTTGATATCAGTATGACACCCGTCATTACTTGTTCCTTAAGAAACGCCTTGTAGGGTATGATCATCGACATCAGTCTAATTCTGTTCATGTTCCTGTCTGCTTCTGACAGCAACTTTGTTCCTGTTAGTCTTGTTCAACCAAATGAAAAAAAACCAGAGTGACTACTATCTGCCTAAGTTTCTATAAGTACGTGTGTGCGTGCAGCCCCCCAAATGTTGTTTCTTTTGTATTTTTTAAAAGGGTATTAGAACCATATGATATAGTCATAACCTATCATAGCATGATACTCTATTTGATGAGTCACCCTAAATCACTTTTGACACCACGTGACATAATGTTACATTTCAATAATGGGCAGCCAATATTTTAGCACAGGGCTCTCACAAAGATTTTCCCCCTGAGCGTGTGGTACTTAGGGAGCAGGAGCAGGAGGGGAAAGACAGTAAATGTGTTGAGCCTGTTCCAGAATGAGGAATTTGTTTTCCAATGATTATGTCTCATAACGAGAACAGTCCAGGGAGGCAAATTCATTTGGGAAAAGTGTGCATGTTAAGTGCATTCTTCCTGACAAATATTAAGGACTAGATTCTCAGCTAGTGTAAATCAGCATTATTCTGTTGCTTCCGCTGATTACTTCTGTTGATTTCAATGGAACTACACCTATTCACTCCAGCTGAGAATCTGAACCTTAGATAGTAAGTGCTTCAGGGCAAGACTGTGTCTACTCCCAGCTTCTAACACAATGTGCCACAACCTGACTGGGGCTTTTGGGAGCTACCACAATAGAAAAATATTGAGGTATAACTATATGCAGTACAGTATTATTATCATGTTATAACTTATTTTCTGGTGGCAGCACTCCAAGGTCCCAATCAGGATCATGGCTCCCTTCTGTTGGGCCTTAGAAACATACAAGACGACACAGTCACTGCCCCAAAGAGCTTAATTTGAAAAGGGGTGTGCGCAGGAGAGACAGAGAGAGACCATTAATCAGAGATGAGACTCATAGGCACTCTCCTGGAATTGATTTGAAAATACCTGACAGCAGGCACAATCTGGTACAATGCCAGGGTTTTGTATTGGCTCAGCATAAGTTTGTATGGGTCTCAGGCATAGCATGCCTCTCTGGCCCATGAGGTTTTTGTAGTACGCTCCAGAAGTAGCAGGGAGTTAAAAAAAAACAAAAAAACACCCACGTCATACCATTGTCTAGTAATGGATTATTAAGAAGAGGGCTCCATTAGCTCTCAAAGCCCCCTTCAGTTCATCATCAGTTCATTCAGTACATCTAGATGCTGCCTGAAGTGGCTTTAAATGGTGAGTCCTCAGAACCCTCTCATTGGTTTTTTTTGTTTCATGACTCTTATTTATTTTCCAAGGCTTTGGATTTTGAAAAGAAAAAGCTGTATACTCTGAAAGTGGAGGCTACCAACACTCATGTGGATCCCCGATTCCTCTACTTGGGGCCATTCAAGGACTTCACTACAGTCAGAATCCTGGTGGAGGATGTGGATGAGCCCCCGGTGTTCAGCAGACCAGCATACATACTAGAAGTGAAAGAAGATGTGGCCATAAACAGTATTATAGGAACGGTAACAGCCCAGGACCCTGATGTTGCGAAAAATCTTGTCAAGTAAGCATAGACTATTTCAGCTCACCTCTACTGTCTTTTTCAATGCTTTATATTTGTTTCTATTTGAACATCCGCATGCAAAAAAAACATTCCCTTTAATAATGAAGTGTATGTTATGTACTGTACATGGCATAAACATATACACATGTACACATTCTACATACATGAGTGTGTGTGCATGTTCATTACATACAACTCGATTTGCATTTCAATTGCTTTTGTAACTACTCACTACTCCTTAGGCATTAGCGACACTAACTAACAAGAAGAGAATCTTAAAGAATACCACAATTACGTTTTCTAGTTGCAGAAAGGCAAAACTGAATAGTTCCAGTACAATATGCGTACAAACTCAGATTCACACACACGGTCATACATTGTGAGCTCATTTATATCAATGCAATTCCACTCACTTCAGTGAAGTGATTCACTGGTGTAAGCAAGTTTACAATCAGCCTCACAGACATCGTAAATTAGGCAATTAATTTTTAGAGGAAATTTGAAGTTCAGAATCGTTAAAGTTGAGCCCCTGTTTTTCATGAACTAGCAAGTGATATGAGAAAGAACATAACTACGGTGTAGTTTAGACTATAAAGGTCTTTCTGAGAAAAATGATCAAAAAGTGATTTTTTTTAAAATATATGAGATTCTTCTTTTACATTGAACAGGAGAAGAATCTTACAGTGTGACACCCTCTTGTTAGGGCATTATAACAGGTCACCAGTTGGGATGGGGACATGGAAAATATGCAGTGTAGTTACATGCAAAGCAAGGTACATTGCCACCAACATTTAAAATCCAGGTGCATCTTGAGTGCATCTTGCATCATGGGTGGGAAAACTCAAAACTTTCCTAAAACGGTTTGGGGGGGAGGGGGAATACAAAGGAGAAAAGGGAGTTTGATAAAATCAAAGGTCATAAAATTAAGGTTTATGGGTAATACACTGCACTTCTACAAAGTACCATCCATCGACATATCTCAAAGTGCTTTTAAAACATTAATAAGTTTCAACCCACCTTGTGAGATAGGTAAATATTATCTCCATTTTACTTTTGAGGAAACTAAGACAAAAAAAGATTGTAAGATCTTTTTGTTCTGTGTTTGTACAGCACCTAGCACAAGGGGGTCCTGCTTTGTGTTGGAGTCCCTAGTTGCTTTTTCAATACAAATAAATAATAATAAGTAAAATAATAATCCTGTGTCTGAGGCTGATTCCCACACTTTTGTTTTAGCCACCCAGACAATCTTTCCTGTCATAAGACAAATTTTACATAAGAATGTCCATACTGGGTCAGACCAGTGATCCATCTAGCCCTGTATCCTGTCCTAAGACAGTGGCCAATGCCAGATGCTTCAGAGAGTGAACATAGCAGGACAATTATCGAGTGATCAAGGCCCTGTCATCAAGTCCCAGCATCTGGCAGTCAGAGACTTAGGGACATCCAGAACATGGAATTCCATCCCTGACTATCTTAGCTAATAGCCATCAATGGACCTATTCTCCATCAACCTAATTCTTTTTGAACCCACTTATGCAGAAAAGGACCTAGGGGTTACAGGGGCTGAGAAGCTGGATATGAGTCAACAGTGTGCCCTTGTTGCCAAGAAGGCCAATGGCATTTTGGGATGTATATGTAGGGGTATTGCCAGCAGAACGAGGGACGTGATCGTTCCCCTCTATTCAACATTGGTGAGGCCTCATCTGGAGTACTGTGTCCAGTTTTGGGCCCCACACTACAAGAAGGATGTGGAAAAATTGGAAAGAGTCCAGCGGAGAGCAACAAAAATGATTAGGGGACTGGAACACATGACTTATGAGGAGAGGCTGAGGGAACTGGGATTGCTTAGTCTGCGGAAGAGAAGAATGAGGGGGCATTTGATAGCTGCTTTCAACTACCTGAAAGGGGGTTCCAAAGAGGATGGATCTAGACTGTTCTCAGTGGTAGCTGATGACAGAACAAGGAGTACTGGTCTCAAGTTGCAGTGGGGGAGGTTTAGGTTGGATATTAGGAAAAACTTTTTCACTAGGAGGGTGGTGAAACACTGGAATGTGTTACCTAGGGAGGTGGTAGAATCTCCTTCCTTAGATATTTTTAAGGTCAGGCTTGACAAAGCCCTGGCTGGGATGATTTAGTTGGGGATTGGTCCTGCTTTGAGCAGGGGGTTGGACTAGATGACCTCCTGAGGTCCCTTCCAACCCTGATATTCTATGATTCTATACTTTTGGCCTTCACAACATCCCTTGGCAAGGAGTTCCACAGATTGACTGTGCATTGTGTGAAGAAGTACTTTCTTATGTTTGTTTTAAACCCTCTTACTGTTAATTTAATTGGGTGACCCCCCTGGTTCTTGTATTACACAAGAGGGTAAATAACAATTCTCTTATTCACTTGCTCCTCACCAGTCATGATTTTATAGATCGCTATCATATCCCACCTTCATTCTCTCTTTTCCAAGCTGAACAGTCACAGTTTCTTAATCGCTCCTCACATGGAAGCTGTTCCATACCCCATATCATATTTGTTGCCCTTCTCTGTACCTTTTACAATTCTAATATATCTTTTTTTTTTTCTGAATTTTGTCCAAGGAGAATAAAATGACAAAGTAAAAGAAGAAAAAAATAAAAATTCACTAGAGGAAAAAAATCTCTCCTCAGCACAACCTCACGGTGAAAGAATGGTACCACATAGGCTGTTTGTCCTCTATCGCCATGTTGTGCCATGGCCTCTAGTGCCATGTTGGCAGATCCAATTTTTTTAAAGAAAGGTTTTATTTTGTTTTTACAAAAACTTCCAGTATACAAGCTTCCAGAAGACTAGAATGTAACTCTACAATCTGCCTGTTGTAAGGGGCAACACGCTCTTGTGCTGGTCCTGGAGGAACCCTGTGAGAAAATAAACTGCACTGGGTCTATATCTGGCACAGTGTATGTTCTCCAGCATGTCAGCACACAGACATGATGGTTCGTGGAAGGCCCCACCCGGACCGCATCTCCTCCAGCCATCTCCCAACCAGTGGCACAGGAGGGGCTGGGAATGTAGTGTGTCTGTGGATCCTGCTTCCTGTATGTTAAGAGCTGCACACAAGAAGCCATATGCAGCACACACCAAGAAGTTTTATTTACCCTACAAAAACCAGGAACTATGCTGTATAGTTTTGAGCCCTATGTACCTTATCTATAACTATCTATCTATAACATATTCTTGTAACACCCCCCTTCTGCAGATTACTCACACCATGGTATCAGACACCTTCTTACTTCCTTGTACAGCCATGCAAACCAGGCCATGATTTGCCCCAAAAAGAGCAGATGGGACAGAGTCCATACAAAGGGAATTGACTCATATCAGCAGAGTGGATCTGACCGACTAATACTATGTGCAAACATCACAATGGATTGAAAACATCAAAGGGAAATATTTAGATTTACAGTCCAAGGTGGTTGATATTATTTAGATGGAACAGCATTTAATTTGCAACAGCATTTTATTTGAGAATAGGGTAATGAAAATCAATTAACATCTTATTGATTTGTCTGAAATGAAAACCAAAGGAGGAAAAAGAGAGAAATGAGGAAAAGATTGAGACACCAGAAGGAAGTGACAGGGGAACTGGAAGAAGAGCAAGAGGGAAGAGGAAACCAAGGAACCACTAGCCTATGAGATGTGGGCCTACCAATAAATTATAATCCTAATGGGGCTTTTATGGTGCCGATATCCTGTGGAATCTCCCAAGATGTGGGAGGACAGTATGCAGTTCCATATTCTTGACAGGGTGATTTTTTTCCATGAAAAGTATAGATGCTAAATCTGACTTCCACTTTGAGCTTGAGGGAGGATGCAATTAGACTGTATGTGTAGGACTTGTCACTTACTTGTCAATTGCCCTTGACGGTCAGAAATAAAATCTTTAGACACTTGACGTTACAGTGAAAACCTTCCATTTTTCCCCACTTAAGTGCAGATTTTTCCTTTTTAAATAAAATGACCCCTAACTCAGTTTGCTGAAAGACCCTTTGATCTTCCATTACAGAATCCTTCATAATATCAGTATGAACATGCATTATGAAAAATTCACACACACATCCCTTCCTGACCCACAAATCTGCTTGACTTGTGGTTGCATTAGACAGCAAGCTGCTGAGTATCAGAAGACAATGAAGCAAAAGAAGACTAAGAAGTGAACTTTGCAGAAATATCTGCCATAACCAGAAATAACGGATCACCATCTACACAATTTCAGTGGAGCCACATTTCATCAGCATAGACCTGACCAATAGGTCTCCTAGCTGCAGAACAACATTAAGAAAGGACAAAACATATACAATTAGTGTATGCATGGATATACAAATACTGATATACAGCCAATATCACTAGAGTGTTAAATAACACGCCACCATCCAGTTGTTAGTGAAAACGTGTTGTTTGCACAACGCTTACATTCAGAGTAAACAGAGGTAATGTACTGAACCTCTGAATTCTTCCCATGTAAAAAAATTAATTGTGCTGCTTCCGGCATTATCAGATCTTTCTTTAAATCTCTAGGTGAGTTTTTTGCTCTTGTAACTTCTCAGAGGCATAATGTAGTTCATCATTTATTGGAACTGCCTCCCTGATCTATCAAAAGTATCCTAGATGAAAATAATCTGCAAATAAATGCAAGGCTTTATTTTGTTTGTGTATTTTACTGACAACTTACTTGCATGTATTGGCTTTTCTCTGCTCCCTCCCTCCCCCCCCCCCATAGTTATGTTTAAGGGTACAGTAGAATATGCATATATTCATTAACTTCCTAGCTTGTCAATTCCCAGGGTTTGAAGGGTATAAAGTCCTGAAATCTGACATATATGCACCAGTAATTTCATTAAAGAAATGTAAAAACAAGTTTGATGTTGTCTGCTTAATTCATAGTAGGCTATGAGCCATAAATTAGAATCACCACCGATTCCACATAATTAGTAGTCCTTGATCAAAGGAGACCCAGGGTTATATAAACTCAGACAGAAATGACAGTCTAGCTTATTAAAAGCATCCTTCTAGGTCAGGGTTAATGGTATAATTAGAATACATTTGTAACTGCACTGATCTTGTATGTATTTTCACTTGAATATGAAGAAATAAAATTAGTATTTCATCAAGACACTGTTCTCTATTATTGCTTTATTGAGTTCAACATCCTGCTGTACAAATGACCTAATGTGCATAGGGACTTGTGACAGCTCATATTTTGAAATAATAAATATTAATATATCGAAGGAAGTCTCCGTGTTATGGCTGTGATAAACTCAGAAAAGCTCAAGAATTGGACACAAAAGGTTTCTCCATTGTTCCCAGACACTGTATCACATATAGGGCTAAATCCTGGGAGTTTTGCTAGAATAAGGACCATGATCACAGTGTCCCATAACGCTAAAGCCCCAATTGAGCAAGGTATTTAAGCACATGCCCGACTTTAAGCATGAGTAATCATGGGGCGTGGGGTGGGAAATAAATGCACTGCACACTGCTTAAAGCTAGGCACGTGCTTAAGAATCTTGCTGAACCAGCACCATGTTCCTTGAGCTGGTAAGAAAAGGGAGTTTCCATTCTGTGTGAAATTCCAATCTTTTGTAATTTCTTTTCATTCCAAATGAGCTTGAAAGGGTCAAAATTTTCTGTAGGATGGAAATTCTGAATCTAGGGGGGGAAGTAAACTTCACCAGCCATTTTCCTGGCATACCTTACTTCCCTCAACATGCTGCCTCAACTAGGCTCTGCCCACTCCCCACCTCTACCCGCCCAGCTGCATAGGAGATACCACAGTGGCTGCTCTCCTTGGATTGCGGTGACCTGTGATGCAAGTAGCCCACACAGGAGAGTAAGGGAGCACTTTAGACCTCTTCACTTACGTGGAGAGGCATATAGGTTGGCTCATGACTGAGCCCAGAGCAAGAGCAGAATAATAGTTTAGTTCTGCCACTTCTTTGTTCTGTGGCAATTTCATTTTAACAAGAGATGGACCTGAGCAGCAACATTTGGATCTGGATGTCAGAACTCCCTCACAGGCATCAGGGACATTCATCTCCAAGGTTTAGATTCAGCTCAGTATAAAAAGAGAAAGAGGCCAGATAAGAAATTCAAATCCATATTCAGATTCTGAATGCCCCCAAAGTTCAGTGGTGTTCAGATCCATCTGTGCATATAACCAAGGAAACAAGTTGGATTATCCTTTAATGTGCTAGAACTTACATTTACATGGCATTTACCATGGAATGAATCATCGACTACACTGATCTCTTTACCTTTCTGTTGTTGTTTTTTAACCAATACAATTTTGGGAGGGAGCGAAGGCAAAAATTGCACCCCAGCTGACAAATTTTGTATCAAAAGTGATTTGAAAGAGTTGAGATAGCAAACTATGGAAAGAGGGATTTATAATGGGAAAGCCAATTCAGCCTGAAAATAAGTGAATGTCATATCTTTCAAGATACAGACTCCACATTTCTCACTAAAAGGCAAACCTTTGATGCTTCTCAGAAGTATGTAAATTCTATAGTAATTCATTTATTCAGTGACAATGCCCCACCTTCTAAATCAAACCCTCCAATATGTCATTATCCAACAGCTCAGAACAGACTCTTTGTATGAATATATCAAGATGCCGAAGTCTGCACTGAAAACAAAAAGGCAGCTCATTTACTAGGTATTTGATGTCTAGTCTTAGGAAACAGTTTCAAACAGAAATTAAAGTAAAGGCATTTTTTCTAACCACGGTCTCTGTATTTGCAGATATTCCGTAGATCGGCACACTGATATGGACAGAGTATTCAACATCAATTCCGGAAACGGTTCAATATTTACTTCAAAACCCCTTGACCGGGAAACATTGCTATGGCACAACATTACAGTAATAGCAGCAGAGATCAGTAAGTCAAACCTAAATACCACTGCTCTCCCTGATGTAATGAATTTAGCCTTCTAGCTGAGTGTGTGTAAACTACTGCTGGGAAGATGTCAGGCTGTATGGATGGGCCCGCTCAATACTAATCAAGCAAGGGAATGGCTGAAAAAGATGCTCTGCGCTTCCTTTTCTTTTTCCTAGGGCGACAGCTTATGAAGAGACAACTCTTGTACCTGAACGGGCGGAAAGTTAGTGCTTACATGTTTCTGAATCAACCTGCCTGGAAAAATGCTCATAGCCATTCTTTAATACAGTAGGATTTGCCAACTTCTGAAAAGTTGTATACAGCAAACAAGATAATCGGAAAATAGTCCATACAGTGTGGCCAAAATCAATTCTGTAGCATAGCCTGGGAATTTTCAAGTGAGCCCAAAGGCCCCCAAATTCCATTAACATGCAATGAAAATTTGGCATCTAACTCCCGTGCATGCCTTTGAAATTCCCATCTATAGATACAAACCCATTCCATTATTTTAGCCCAGACGTAGGCAGTTTCTTTCTGTGGTGACACCACGTGTGTTAATTGTTTTGCGAGCTAGACAGCCAGAGAGGTATACCGGTTCTGTGTGAGACAGGCAGTCTCAATAAAAACATCCCCTGGATACTAATATTTTAATTACATGTCTCCTTTCTGTCCTGTGGCATGCTGCAAATGCTGGCATCAGTGGGTGCAAAGCCGATTCATTTCTGTGGAGTTGCATCCTCTCGTGCTAGGGCTGGATTTGATTGAAGCAGGGTGGAATGGATGGATCACTGGCTGTATAAATGTTCAAAAATTTGGATGCTGTTGGGAAGCTTCAGGGTATTTATTTTTAACTTTATTTTATTTAATTGGTATAAAAACAACTACAGACTCTACTTTCTCATATATTATACATAAGTAGATATATAGCTGAAAATGACCTATGTCCAAGCCAGGCTCCAAGGCCAGACTAGCCCTTTCAAAGATGGGCAAGCTTTATAGTTTCTTAGGCGGGCCTCCACTAAAGCCATTCGGCAATTGGAGTTAGTCGTGGACTGTTCCATCAAATTGCAGACGCATTTCATTGAACTCAATAAAGTTAATTGAAGCTAAAGAAATATTGAGACAAATTAGAATAAGCAAGTACATTCCCACTGAAGGGTACTCCCTTCACATTAATTACCAGTACATTTGTAAACTCAGAAAGAGAAACGCTTTACAATGGTGAGTATAGTTATCCTCATTTTACAGAAGGGGAAAAACATGGAGATACAGAATGGTTTTGGCCAACATTTTCTAAAATATCTAGTAAGTTTGGGTGCCTCAATTTTTGGGTGATCTCCTGGAAACACTTTGACCCAGATCCTCAAAGATATTTAGGCAAATAATTCCCATTGAAATCAATGGAAGTTAGGTACCTAAATACTTTTGAGGATCTGGGCCTTTGGGCCTGTTGTTCACAGATGCACAGCACCTCCAACTCTTAAGTGAAGTCAATGGGAGCATCAGCTGCTTCCAATTCACTGCCACTGTACCATACTGCCTTCTTACTGAAATTCTGAGGGTGGTTTAAATCTTTACACTTACATTGGGAAAGGTACAGTAGATATTGCACTGCAGAAGATACTCGACAACCAAAATCAGATAAATTTTAGGATTTCAGTCTGTGGATTGACAAAAGCTACATCCAAAACTAAGGAGATGTGTTAACATTGTGCACCAAAATGAGGAACCTGCCTGCTCCATACAGTAGCCCTTTTTGCTGGACAGTCTAATAACAATTAAGTGATTTGTGAACAAGGAGAAGTTAAGCATCTCTTATGCCTTCATGTAAAAGGATTTGGAAGGAGAAAAAAGAGCAGTGAGGCTTGAAGATTGTATAAATATATTGTATCTACATACCTGTTATATCTCTCTGAAGAAAAAAGTGAGAGAGAGACTTTGAATTATATATTTTTCATGGAAGTTCTCCTAGTTACTATATTGTTATTTTGAATTTTTTTTTTTGACTCAGAGCCAGCTAGAAACAAATAAAACTGTGTAGTTATTTGTACAAAGCAGCATGTAGAATAAGTATAATTAAGAATGATAGGAAAACCCTCACACATATTTGAGTGAATTCCTAGAAAATACATATGGGTGTGAAACCTTCATAGCCATGAAAATTAAAATTAGGAGCTGGGATTTTGCCTATTATAAAGATTCAAAATTTGTATCTACCTTTTAGTGTAGATTTCAGCTTGGTCTGTATTATTCTTAGACCCTTAGTGTTATTTTACACACAGGATGAATTTAGTCCAATGGCCCAAATTAAAAAATGCTTTATATCCAATTCAATCATATTAACTTCAATGCAACTGTAGAGGTTTAAAGCACAATATTTGGCCCAAACCACTAAGTTCTTAATAAAGTACAGAGCAGGCAATTCCAATTTTGTGACTATAAAGTAATAAAATAATAGGTGAGTATTAAAACCAAATTTTACCAAAAACACTCCAGTGAATTCTTTTAGATATATAAAAGGCTCGAGAATTGCTGTATTTTATTCATCTTTTTTATTATAATAAAATATAATTATTATAATAAAATTATATTATATTATTTTTGCCTTTGACCCTTGTTTAAGATTCATTAATAATCTGTACAATCAGTATTATGGAGGGTATGGTTCTTTGGAGCAATTTAAACCAATCCAGGAAATGGAGAAATCCCAATAAAATAAATGGCAACCTCTATTTGCAGATTTTTTTTTTTTTTTTTTTGGTTGTGATGATGCTCTCACTAAAACAAAGGTTTTGTTGTTGTTCTTTTTAAACTTGAAGAGCCAAATTCATTGCTTGCTTTTATTTTTATATCATTGAAGTTGATTTGGATTTATTGGAATTTTCCAAATTGCTTCTTTTTTACGAAGTAAATAGTATTTCCATAAATATTTTTAACTCAAGAATTTTTTTTTAAAAAGAGTATATCACTCTTGCTGCCTTATACAGCTCCTGTGAGAGAAGTAAGCAATGCACTACATAGGGCTTATGTCCTCAGCTGATGTGTTTTAGTGTCAACTCTGGAATAGCGGCAAACAGAGATCAATCCACAAAAGGTCAGAAAGCATCTGTCATAATAACAGTTGGTGTTTATACAGCACTTTATATGAAAGCACCTCATAAACATTGGGCCCATTCCCACTACCCATTTCTCACCCAAGTAATCTATCCACATATAGGACCTGATCCTGCAAATATTTACACATATGTAAAGATGAATAAAGATATGAGAAATGCATAAAGATATGAGGCGTGGCTCCACAATTAGTCCCATTGACGTCAGTAGATTGCATGAACATGAATAAAATCTCCATGTATAAATAAAGACTTGAATTATTCAGTCCTTGTTCTCTCCTTTTCTTCCCCAGCACTGAGTCCTATGCGCACTATGCAGCTTTCGCCTTTCTTTCTATTTTTGTCATTGCAGACAACCCAAAACAAAGTAGCCGGGTCCCTGTGTTCATTAAGATTCTGGATGTAAATGACAATGCCCCAGAATTTGCTATGTTTTACGAGACCTTCGTCTGTGAAAATGCAAAGGCAGAACAGGTGTGTTGATTGTTTGCACTCCATAATAAAAAAAAAACTATTAAAAATTAATTCTGTTTAGGCATTACTCTTGCATCACCTCATCAGGAGGTGTACTTTGTGTTGCCACAAGCTGTCACCGTGCAAAATTAAATTAAGCAGTGACTGTGTCATATCTGATTATATTTAGCATTCTTGTATCTGAAGTGACAGTGTGTTTTACATAGTTAAATGTGGTTGCTTCTTGTAGTGTGTCATGCTATCTACAATTCAGTTCCGTCTCTCTTCCCTTGAAAATGGGATTCTGCATCTGTATGTCCGGGTGCTTCCATCATCTCTCTTGAAGAACGGTTACAGGTCTCAACAAAAGTCCTGCCTTGTAAATTAGCTCCAGGCTGCCACATTGCTCTAGTTCCTAGTTCACATTGCTCTGCAAGACCTGTTGCTTCATGGTTCAAAACAGCAGATATCCCAGAGGATTCAGCCACACAACTCCCGTTTAAAATGAATAGGATTTGTGTGGTTAAATAGCCTAGTCGGCTTTGCTATCTCAGCCTTCATTTCTGCAGCTTGTTCCCACTGCGGATTTCCCACCCACTTGGGATGGCACCAATCCATGCAGTCCCCGGAACTCCACAGAGTTCAAGTCACTCAAGTCACTGCCCAAGTCATTAAGTTATTGGGCTGAAGGGCTGCAGCACAACAGGTTGGTGACACACACAGACAGGCCCAATTTTCATTCATGGTAAGGCCCCTCTGGCAGCATCAAGGGCCTTAAAGTGAAAGAAAATTATATCTATCCCCATTTTAAGATCATTTAACCATTCTAGAGCAGATAGCCTTAATGTAAATGAGAATCAGGCCCACAGTCATCGAAGGGTAATGTTGCTGTTATCATTTCAGCTGATACAGACCCTAAGTGCAGTTGATAAGGATGATTCTTTCAGTGGACACCAGTTTTCATTCTCCTTGGCTCCAGAAGCAACCAGCGGCTCAAACTTTACAATCCAGGACAACAGAGGTGAATTCCTAGGAAGACTTTATTTTGTTTTTTATTCTTTGTGTTTTTCAGCACACAGTTGAGAACTCCTGTACCATTTGCTTTGTGTTTTCAGACAACACAGCAGGGATCTTCACCAGAAGAAACAGATATAACCGACATGAAATGAGTACTTATCTCCTGCCTGTGGTGATATCGGATAGTGACTATCCAGTCCAGAGCAGTACTGAAACAGTGACAATCCGAGTGTGCGCCTGTGACCGTCGGGGGAAGATGCAGTCTTGTAATGCAGAAGCCCTGATCCATCCAACTGGCCTTAGCACAGGGGCTTTGATTGCCATTCTTCTCTGCATCATTATATTGCTAGGTAATAGACCCAGATGAGTTTCGTTCCTGGGGGGAGTGAGGGGGCAGCTGGAAGGAAGAGGGAGCATTACACATTAAAGACACATTGGAGAGATCTTTTCTGCATTATTCTGTAACAAAGGAGAAGTCTATAAAATCAGTGCCTAGTGGGTGGAAGATACTCCCAGATCACAATTCTCCACTCACATAGGCAGCAGCATTTTACGCCCACTTTGGGCAGATGCAAATGACTAAACAAGGTGCAAGGCAATATATCAAAATCAAAGCCACCAGATGTATCATGCTGCATTTACAGTGCTACATTGCAGATTATGAGGCATGCTGAAGTTAGCGTGACCAGACAGCAAGTGTGAAAAATCGGGACAGGGATGGGGGCTTATAGGCGCCTATATAACCCAAAGCCCCAGATATCAGGACTGGCCCTATAAAATCAGGACATCTGGTCACCCTAGCTGAAGTAGACACCTGTTGGGGTGCTGGAGAAGCATATTGAGTTGGGACAACTACAACACCCTTTGAAAGGACACCACATGCTCTCCTTCCAGCACCAGAAGATACAAATGGGGTGGGGCCCTTTTGGGGTATGCAGCCCTCAGGCCAAGCTCCAGCCCCTCTCCCTTCCATTCTGGGTAGATGAGGACTGGTATTCTGGCCGCCCCCAGCAAGACAGTAGAGCTGGGAGAAAAAAAACCCTCCCCTCATAGCCCTTCCTTACCTTGTACACCCCATGCAAGCCCAGGAGCAGTCTAGCCCTTAGCCTTTCGCTGCACTCGGTACCCACTTTGGGAATACGAGGAATTTTGAAATTTGGTGTCTCTTAGGGAAACATTGTCAGATGCTCTACCTACCTACCCAGGGAAGTAAAGGGGGGGCATGAAGTAGGGGCAGGAAAGGGGACAGTAGTGCTGCTACTCCCACTCCTATGCATGTGGGCTGAAAATGGGCAGGGGTGGATGGGAAGTAGGTGGCACAAATGCTGGACCCACCCGTCAAACATGCTGGGCAGCACAGCTGAATCACCTTAGCCAAGGACATAATCTGCTAATGATGTTTACTGGTAGCAAATTACTCCCTTCTGGAGCAAGAGGATGGGAGGGAACCCAGGGACCACGTGGTGGCTCCAGACATGCACTGCCCCTTACTCCGGGCAGATTGCTAAATGACAGCCTTATTTGCAATTACGGGGGGGGGGTTACGTCATTACTTTTAAGGGTGGAACCCACTTAATATCAACTCATGGAACAGGAAAAATTGCCCTATGCTGCAAATCATTCTGCATGCATTTAGTACAACTGTGCTCAGTAATATCAATCTGACATTAAACGATTTCCAGTTTAATGTCAATTGAAAATAATTGATTTCCTGCTCTCAGCAGCACTTTATGTCAATTATTGCGCATGTCACCATGCAGCATAAGCAGATTTTCAATTAACTAGACTATATCATTTTCTGTTTTACGTCTAGCTGCAGGGCTTGTAGGTGCAAACATTACTCCACGTGATGCAATGACCTGTGCAGATCCAAACCACAATTTCAATGTTTATAGTAACTAAAGGTGCCTCCAGATTGGTGATTTTATTTGCATCTTGAGAAAGCTCAGATTACTTCCTAGAAACTGCCAGCTCATGTTGAAAAATTGATTTGGATATGATTGATTTGGATAGCTTGACTGTACTTCGATTTTTGCATCTAACTGGTCCAGAGATTTTTATTTGCAAGTTCAGCATAGAAGAAAATTCTTGGAGTATCAAGTACCTAGTATTAGTTATTGTTCATGAATTTATCATTCTACTATCCCTTTGTGGAGTAACCATGCCCCAACAGTAATTACATACATAAAATACAAAGAAGCAAGAACACATTATCCCTCTCTTCTGAAATGAGAGCCAGTGGACTTTCTGAATGCCATTAAAAAACTGACCTTCTTGTTTTTCAATCCTTCATGATTTTCTTTAGACTACCTCATAGACCTGCATTGCCTCTTTCATCAAACATCAGCCTTCCACATAGTCTCTTAGACTGTATACTCTTTAGGACAGGAGCTGTCCTTCATGCTGTGTTTCTGTGGCACATACAGAGGGACCCCCCGAGTGGATTAGGATTTCGAGGGGCTACCGTACTATAAATAATAAGTTGTTGTCTTCATCATCATCGTGTGTGAGAACCTGCAATTCCTGCCATCTAGACCAGCCTCCATCACCATCACTTCTCCCAGCTTCATCAACTAACCTATCCTTTTCAAATCATAGCTGACGCTATCCTTTGTTACCCAAGCAGTAAAGACATAACAGCGATTTTTTTAAAAAAATGGGAATTTGCACCTGTTCTGTGGATAGAGTTGCCACTGACTTTGATGGGAGTTTAGCACAGGGGCTGCAGAAGCAGACACTGGCACTATGTCCTTTAACTTATGTGACAGGGTCGGGCCAGATGGCTACAGGAGAGTGATAGAAGGCAGATATATTAGCCCCAGGTTAAATAGGTCCCTTTTCCCTGGGTAAGGTAACAGGGAAGGTTCCAGAACAATCAGGAACTTTCTGGAAACAATTAAGGCAGACAGGCTGATTAGAACACCTGCAGCCAATCAAGAAGCTGCTAGAATCAATTAAGGCAGGCTAACCTGGGTTTTAAAAAGGAGCTCACTTCAGTTTGTGGTCCGCGTGCGAGGAGCTGGGAGCAAGAGGCGCAAGAAGCTGAGAGTGAGAAGGCGTTCTATTGGAAGACTGAGAAGTACAAGCATTATCAGACATCAGGAAGAAGGTCCTGTGGTGAGGATAAAGAAGGTGTTGGGAGGAGGCCATAGGGAAGTAATCCAGGGAGTTGTAGCTATCACGCAGCTGTTACAGGAGCCACTGTAGACAGCTGCAATCCACAGGGCCCTGGGCTGGAACCCGGAGCAGAGGGCGGGCCCGGGTTCCCCCCATCCCTCCATCTCAATACTGGAGGAGTTGAACTGGACTGTGGACTCCACCAGAGGGTAAGGTCTCTGGCCTGTTTCTCGATCCACTATGTGGATCAGCAGAGACTGCGGGGATTGTTCTTCTTCCTTTCCCAATGCTGGCCAGTGATGAGGCTAACTGAGTGAATGGCAGATTTGAGCCATGAAAGTGACCAAACTGAGGGCTGCCGTTAATCTCTGAGGCAAGAAATCCGCCAATAAGCGCAGGACCCACCAAGGCAGAGGAGGGACTTTGTCACCACTGGTGTTGGCAGTGGGATTTGGTGTGCACAGCGCGGAGGAAGAAAGGAGGTGTTGTTATTATTTTTAAAAAAAAAAAAAGGAAAGGGTTTACTGTTTTTCCCACCAAATGGAGGAGGTAGTGCGGGCACTGATACAAGCCACGGCTGCCCAGCAGGAAGCTACCCGTGTCCAGGCAGCCGCCCAACAGGAGGCAGTGCAGCTGCAGCAAGAGACTAATCGCCTGCTGATGGACCAGGCTGCTCAAGACCGGGCTATGTTGCGGGAACCAGTAAACCAGGTAAAGGCCCTTACAGAGCTGAACTGCGGCCATGATGGGACGCAGATCATGCGGGCCAGCAATTGGCTGCAGAAAATGACGCGGGAGGATGATGTAGAGGCATACCTCCTGGCCTTTGAGAGGACAGCCCTGCGGGAGGCTTGGCCCCGAGAACAGTGGTCTGGCATCCTGGCTCCATTCCTGTGTGGGGAGGCCCAGAAGGCCTACTATGATTTGCCTGAAGAGGCTGTGGCAGACTACCCCCAGCTGAAAGCAGAGATCCTGGCCAGATCTGGGGTAACGACCACAGTGCGGGCCCAGCGATATCACAAGTGGAGGTACAAGGAAAACAAAACCCCATGGTCCCAATTGTTTGACCTCATCCATCTCACACGAAAGTGGTTGCGAACTGAGTCCCGGAGTCGGTACTAGAGGTTCTGGTCATCGACCAGTACATGACAGGACTACCGCCAGACCTTCACAGCTGGGTAAGCCAGAACGAACCCTCCACCTATGACGAGGTTGTCACACTGGTAGAGAGGCGAAGGACGGCGAGGGAGCTGACCCGACCAGTTAAGGAAGAAGCACCCTGGGTTAAACCAGCAGCACCAAGCCCTAGAGCTCGGGTGACTGGGCAACCAGGAGAACCCAGGTGGAAAAAGAGAGAGGCTGAAGGCCCACTGGAAGCCACAAAGAGTCGGAGCACTGAGCAGGAAGAAGATCATGATGTTAGACTGCCCAAATCAAGAGACCGGGGAACGCCTAGGGCTCCATACACATGTTACGCCTGCGGGGAGTGGGGACACATAGCTGCACAGTGTCCCAATGCTGAGGAGCCTATGCAGTGTAACCTGGGGAACTGGGCAGACCCATGCTCCCTAATCCACCTTGTGGGGGTCTCAGTAACCCCACATATGTACACCAGACCAGTGAAGTTAAATGGGGTAGAGACCACGGAACTGGTTGATTCGGGGAGTGCTATCATGCTTATCTCGGGGAAGCTCGTGAAGCGTAGTCACCTGCTGTTGGCTAAGCGTACGGGGATAACATGCGTCCCTGGGACAGTTGGTTATTACCCCACCATCCCAGTAAAAATCGAGATTCAGGGGAACACTACTGAGGTAGCAGCAGGTGTAGTCCCTAAACTCCCATACCCGGTGCTCATAGGGAGGGACTTCCCAGGGTTTGCAGACTTACTCCCAGTAGGGGAATTGGAGAAAGGGGGAAACCCTGAAGTCAGTGAGGCATCCACAGTAGACTGTCAACCCCCAATCTTCTCTGAAATATCCCCAGATTTGTTCTCCACTCCCAGACAGGGTAGAAAGTCACAAAGGGAAAGGAGGGCAGCTAAGGCCTTCGGAACCCGAATAGTGACCCAAAGCCAGAGGGTCGCTCTCGTAGGTAGGTGGACCCGAGCAGCTGAAAAGGAGGCCACCCAGGAGGGAGACGCACCCGAGTCTGACCCACACCCTAATGCCTCTGAACCAGTAGAGGCAACAGAGACTGGGCCCCTAGATCTCGGGCAGAATAGCCCCAGAAGAGG